GTAAGGCGTCTATGACATTAGATTATTACCAACAAAAAAAAAAAAAAAAAACAGCCAAATTGGTGAAGCAGGTTCAGGAGAAAAAAGACCTTCTTCAGAGGCTAAAACTAGTCAAAATGTATAGATCAAAGAATGATCTGTCTCAGTTACAATTGTTAATAAAGAAGTGGAGAAGTTGCATCCAGCTGTTGCTTTATAAGCTGCAATCAGCTGTGTCTGAAGAGAATAAGAAACTAAGCCTTACTCAATTGATAAACCACTATGGGTTAGATGATAAATTGCTACACTGTAACAGAAGTGAAGAAGAATTTATAGGTGTTTAATTCCTGATTTTTGCTCCAGAATATATTTGAAAATGACAACTTAATTTATTTTTGTGATGGAGTCTCGCACTGTCACCCGGGCTGGAGTGCAGTGGCGCAGTCTCGGCTCACTGCAACCTCTGTGTCCCAGGTTCAAGTGATTCTCTTTGCCTCAGCTTCCCAAGTAGCTGGGATTACAGGCGCCAGCCACCACGCCCAGCTAATTTTTTTTGTATTTTTGGTAGAGATGGGGTTTCACTATGTTGGCCAGGCTGGTCTTGAACTCCTGACCTCATGATCTGTCCGCCTCGGCCTCCCAAAGTGGGATTACAGGCGTCAGCCACCGCTTGGGGCCCTAGATACTTACATATTTTAAAGGGAAGATAGAAACCATTAGGGCTCAGAGGAAGGTATCCCGATGAATATCAATTGAGGACACGCTAATATATAAATTATAAACTAAGTTCTAAAAGGAAAATTAGTATTTTGGATAGATTTGCCAAAGAAAACTTGACTTTTAAATCATGTTTAAAAAGTCATTTGGGCAGTTTGGTAAACTAGTTTTAATACGTTTGTTCTTTTTTGTGGCAAAAAGTTTTATTTAAAATGTTAAAAATTGTCCAATCTAGTGAATGCCTAAACCTAAAGTTAAAAAATTTCTGCCTCCTAAGTTTATGTGCCTTGTTTCCATCCATTTATCACATATTTCCATCTTATAATCTAGCAGGTAATTAAACTCATATGTCCAAAACTTTTTTTTAAAAAGAAGGGAAAGTTAATGTTAATGCATTTCACCAGAAATGTGTCAAATCATTTTGGGAAAATAAATGCCTTTTCCCAGAAAGACATTTTGTGACCAATACATTGACAGGCATC